AAAAGTAATATAAGTAAGCAGATACTAACTTATCTAATAATTTTAATTAATATTACTAGTTTATAGACCTCCTTTAATATTTATAGAAGCCTACTACCTTAACTAAGCCTATCCTTTTTACTAGGAATAATACCTAGAGAAAGTAATATTACCCTAGGGTTAACTAAAATAGAAACCTCTAGACCCCTAAGAAGAGTCCTTGTCCCTATAAGGCCTAGGAAAACTAACTTTTAGTTCTAGGGAAGGGAGGTTATAGAGTTCCTAGATAACTATAACTACTAGGTAGAAAATAGGGGGCTAGATAAAGTAGATTAGCTAAAAATTCTACTAGACTTCTATAATACTATATACAGAATATTTATAAAGAAGCTTAGACCCTACTAGAAGCAAGACTAGGAGGAGCTACAGGAAGCTATAAAGGAGTACTAGAGGGACTAGGATATAGCCTAAAGGATAGGTACCTAAACCTTCCTAGATACGTATATATAAGAAGCCTCTAGAAACTTCCTAGGTCTCTTAGACTACTATACTAATTTTGTAGTATATAGTAATGCCTACCTAGTATTTAAATAGCTATACAAAAGCAAAGTTAGATTCTTCTTCTTTAGAGGGTTACCCTAGGTAGATAAAGAGCTAGTCTTGCTTAGTATACTAGGAGGGCCTAATAGTAATAAGGTAGTAAGCTATAAGCTAGAGAAGATCTATACCTATATTAAAAGAATCTATTAGTAAAGAGAAGGAATAAAATATATATTAGCTAGCTAAATAGAGGAAGATACTTAGTAGGTATATTAGATATTAGAATTAGCAAAAGCTACACCTATAAAGGAGGAAATTATAGAGGTAGCGAAAGGCGTTAGAAAGGAGTAAGCTACTACCTAACTACTACTAAATATTAACCTAGAAATAGACTAGTTAATTAGGGTACTAGGAAAAATAAAGATAAGTTTAGCTAAGGCTAATAGGCTATAGGAACACTACGTAATAGGCCTACTACTAAAAAGCCTAGTAAACTAGCTCTACTTTATTTTATATATAACTAACGCTAGGATAGAGCAAGGAATATATTAGAATACTATAGTAATTAGAGGGTTACTAATAAACTAGCTAAGAACCTAGGGCCCTACGCAGACGTTAACTACTTAGCTAGGGCTATAGAGTTATAGGGGGTATAACAAGAAACTACCTACCTATAATATATATAGATTAGAAACCTACCTAGTAAGGGACTGCCCCCCCTAGCTAGAACTTATAGCGCTAGGGTAAGTAAGCACTTCCTAGAATCTAGAAATAAGAACTAGGATATTTTACTATAGACTATTATATAAAAGACTAGGGCAGGTTACTAAGCTAGCACTATAGAACTATACTCTTTACTAGATAAAGAAAAAGTTACGTAAATACTATAAAGTCTCTAAGGATATCCTTAGCTAGCTAGCGTTATAGGTTAAGCTAGAACTATTTAACAGAATAGATTTAAGAGGCTAGTAGTAGAGGTAGACTTAAGGACTAGACTACCTAGCAGTAAAAAGAGCAGGAGCTAACGCAATATCTTCCTAGAATTAAGGATTAGAACTAGTAGATACTTAAAAAGAATATAAGCAGTTCTTAAACTATTAAATACTATAAACTAATAAGGAAGACCTAGTAGTAATAACACTAGATTATATAGACTTAAGATATATTATTCTAGGATTAGTAGATAAAAATATACCTAGGATCCACGCCTCTACAAGGGAGAAAGAAAAGCAAAGGGACTAAGTCTTAGAAGAAGTAAGGATAGGATTAATCTAGAAGCGCAGGCAAGGAAGACTAGTATAAAACCTAGTAAACTAAGAAGAGGGAGCAAGTAAGGAGATAGAACTTAAAGAGACCCTAGAGATTCTATACCTAGCTTAGGCCTATATAGACCCCTTTGCAATAATCTAGCTACTAGATAATATAGGTAAAGGCTATACAAATTTAGGGCCTAATTAGGACCTACTAATAATAAGAAGAAAAGTATAGTTTAAAGAAGTAAAGAATAAAGAGCTTAAGGGAATAATACGCCTAAGCCTAAACTAAATAGTAGCTGCTTTTCTTAGGTAGGAAGTCTAGGGAATTGCAGTAGCTAACCTACTAGGGCAAGATTATCTATAGGAATAAATCAAGACGTTATTATAGGAACCCTAGACTTAAGTCCTGTAGGATAATAACTACTTTAGTAGGGTAAATATAGCAGAGCTAGAGGGC